TGATAGTCATATGATGGAGTTTTTTTCCTTTGACCTTAGGGCTACTGAAGTCCCCATGGACGATGCAATTCACAGATTACTGACCGAGGATCTCTGGTTGTCGATTACCTTCACGACTAGGTAAACTTAGGGTCCAAGTGGCTTAGGATGACAGATTTGTGATACCCAAACCTGGCTACATCTACCTTCTAGGGATTACTCCCTTCTTTCTTTGATTACCCTTATTGAGCCCTATTGTACCTTTTGCCTTCATTAGTATCATTTTGACAGTCTGATTACCATGAGCTGCCGCCCATTTGAGATAGATGATTTGTCTTTTGTCATTTTGGATCAGATGTTGACGTATTGCGATTCCTCGTTAGGATGACTTAGTCATTTCACAGGCTCCGTATGCAGATGAGTCCGTTACCCACGCGGGACCGTGAGAGACTTGCTCTCCACCCCGTGGCTTACGGGAGCTTTGAAAGCATTAAAGCTTTTCCGTACGAAATAACTGTCATTTGATAGCCCTCTGTTAGTTGTCATTACTAATGTAAGAAAAACTACTTCAGTTCAAGAGTATTCTTGGGGAACCCTTAAGATATAACTAACCAAGTGGGTTACATCCTCTTGAGAGCACTCTAGCCTCAGAATAGACAAAAAAACCTGAATCTCTAGTTGTGGGTAGTCTACATAGGTACTCTTTCGCGAATGTGCTTCTGCCAGATCTTATTTGGGCGAACATACTTGACCTATCTCTGCAAGCTTTATCACACGTAGACTTTCCACGTTCTTTCTCTTGTTTGTCATTTTTGTCGTATGTCTGTCTTTTCTGGTTCTTCTCTTTTCCTGATCATTCATATTATCCAGAAGAGAAACTTATTCGGAAAAAAGAGGTATATGATGATGGACAAATTGATTATTCCTTTAAAAAAAAAAAAAAAAAGAAAGGAACAGAAACTACCCCGCCAAATGACAAGTTCATAAATAACCGACAAATCATAATTGTCGGTTAATATTTGCTTATAACCATGTATGTCATGCATCAGTAATAATACAAACTGTCAGGAAAAAAATATTATTGTTACTAAGCGACATGTTATATAGTTATGTCATCACAAATAATTCAGCTCATATATCATCACTATGCCGTCATAAAATAGAACATTTTTTTCGATGTATATTATGACCGTTGGTTTTAGCACTTTTTTTTTGTAGTGTCACAAGCGCATCATGAATAATAAATTTTAATTTTAAAGAATCTTACATAAATAATTTAATTTAAGCAATCACTTATTATTTATTTTTGAATGTATTCCATAAATGATTTAATGACTTAATTTTTGTAAAGTGCCAGAAAAGTCATGGTAATAGAGAGAGTATAACATTTTGATTTTGTGCAAAGATTTACTACACAAATAAACGAAAGCTACGAGAAATGCTAATATATATATATATATATATATATTGAGAAAATCAGAAATAAGTAAAAAAATCATGGAGCATGATCTGATTGAAAGGATTCACCATGCAAATTAGGTTGTTCTTTTTTTGTCTCAATTTTAAAAAAAAGGAGATTACAAAGTTAGAAGCACTAACTTGAACTTTTAAGATTGCCGTCAAGACTACATGATTGTTGAAGAAATGGTGAAGAATGAAGTTTGTTTGACATGATAGTTAGGTGAAGTCATTTAAAGGATGGTGGTCCGGCATGGACAATTAAGTGATGGTAATCGAGGCAATAATAGTTTGATAATGTTGGTTAAGTAATTATAGTTGAGTGATGGTGACGATGAAAATTATTGCTTGTGATTGTAAGATCTAATTATTGAACCGGGCTCTTGAGCATTTTATATTTCTAAAATTTTAATTCCAAGTTAAGGTCCCATTCATGTAGAAAATGATGATCTATTCATAGTTTCTATGATGGCAATTTATAAAACTTACCTCAAATCACTCATCAAATGACCGATGCCATTAATTTGTTTGCTCATAGATTATTGTTGGATCAAGTAAGTGCTTTAATAATCTTAGAATTGGGTGACGTTGAATTCATTGGATTCTTTTATCAAGGTATTATTTGTGATTTTAAGAACATAAGATTCAGAGGTTATTTGTGTTGGAGGAGATGTATAGAAATCACGGAACGCGGTTCAGGAGACATGAAACAAAACTTTGAACATAAGCACATAAAGTAAAAAAAAATCATATAAAACAGAAAGACACCAGATTTAATATGGAAAAAGTGAGAAAAGAAAAAAACTATGGAGTCATACCATATCAAAACCCAATACATGGGGGACACCCCATAAAACTCATCGTTAAGCTTGATTGATTAAAGTGAGGACTTTGATCAGTCAACGATTGATCAACACAATCAGACTCTATATGATAACTATTTGGTTCATTAATTAATGCCAAAAAAATTTCAAATGCTTGATTTGGGCTTGTTAAAATTCAGGTTGAAACACTTTTGTTTGGATTGGGTCTGTCTTATCAAGATGCTAATTTTGAATATTTGTTTGTTTAAATCTAGGTTTGGATGGTTTGATTTCAAAATTTAGATTTAAATATTATTTATCCAAACTTGTGCATGATCAATTGCATTTTTTCATGATGTGTTTTACTTTCTTCTTTTATTCTATCTCTCATAATTATTTTCTTATGTTTATTTTTTATTTCTTTTATATAAGACTTTATTTTCTTAACTTCAACAAATTATAATATCATTTCGCTATTTACTCTTCAATTAATTGAATTTAAAATATTTAGTAAATTTAAATTTATCATTTTTTATAAAATTAATTTTTTTTTATTATAAGAGCATTTTTCCTAGTTTTTCTTAATTTAATTACCCCTAATTTTTTTTTTTAGTTTTTAAAATATTATATGTAAAATTGTGTTGCCCATGTTAAATAAAAGCCTTTCGCTGTAAATATGTTTGTTTGTTGGGGCATGTACATGCATACCAAAAAATTCTTATACATTTACATATCGAGCACTTGAACATTTACATTTGCATACTAAACATTCAAATATTTAACATCATATCAAAAAATCCACTATCACTTTATTTTTTAAAAGTAGAAAACACATTTCATGCATATGTGTTTGATACGAAAGTGTTATACATATAAATATAAAACTTCAAGTGTTAGAAATGTAAACGCATGCATATTGTATGATATGTATGTAACATTTTAAATAGTAGACTTTTTTCTCTATTATATTATGCCGATATCTTCATATTGATATTAATACATCATATATAATGCATAATGTGTCAAATCTATTCTCCATTTCTCTGAGCAAAAACAAATAGCAAAAATGAATTAGTTTTCATAAAGATTAAAAACTACAAACTAAAATTTAAACAAATCATTGCTATAGTTTTGAAATAATTTAAATTTTCATATAAATAGATTACAAGGAAAAAATGAGCACTAGGCTGAAAGCACAAAAAAATATCATATCCCTTTTATTGAATTAAAAAAAAAAAGTATGAGAGCTGATCATTTGTGTTTTTTTTTTCTTAAAAAACTTGAGGCCCTTTTGGGGCAGTTTATAGGTGCGGCGGTGTTTTCAGGCGACGTTTTTGAAAATGCCGTCTAACCGTTTGGTTTGCGCGTTGTTGAAAACGCTGTCTACTGCGTTTGAGTTTTTTATACTAAAAGCAGGGCGGTCGACTCGCGGGCCGCCTTTCCGGATAAGCTCCTTATCTTGAAACGCACAAGCTGCCCCAAACAGAACGCCAACTTCAATTTATAGGCTTCACAGCACATGACATGGAAAATTAAGTAACAGCCACTGCCACGGTTGATTTATCAGTCCAACCCATCTAAATAGTTTGCCACTCCAACGCTTGTGCCATGGCTGCTTTGCCTTTTACGCTGAAAGGAAACTGAGATGCCAACATTGCTCTGCTTCCTCTCTCTGTTTAGCCATTTGCAGAAATGAAACAGGCAAAAAATAAAAAAGAAAAGAAAAGAAAGAATGATTTCATTTTAAGCCATTATTCTTCAATCATTGAGTCAAAGCTTAAAAAACTCAGGCAATCTAGAAAAGGAATCAGAGTACTGCCACTGGTAACAGTGTTTCATTGATACGAAATAACGATGAATTGCCGAAATGCGGACAAGAATGGCAAATACTTGGCAAAGTCGAGTTTTCCAGAAAGGAGAAACACAAGGGGCCTACGCTGCACTCTATTACAATTGTAATGTGGCATTTACATACATATGCTAAAGCCGCACGGGTGACTTGAGGAAATTTAGTCTGTGATACTACGCTGCACTGCTTTACAAATTATAATGTGGCATTTACATACATATCACCTAATTCCCATATATTTACATATCTAACACCTAAACTTTACCAAATGTTTTACATCGCGTTAAAATGCCATTGTTTTCAATTTTGGGATTTTTATGTATGAACCACTCAAAACTTTAAATATACAGATTTACCACTCAAATTTCAAATTTTAAATTTCAACTACTTGTAAACATTCAAAATTTTAAATATAATGGATTGATCATTTCTATACAAAAAAAAAGGTGGTTAAAATGTAAGGTTACATTTATGTAAAGTATGAAGGGATGTTGGATTTGTGACTACATAAAATTCTGCGGTATGTATGTAAAGCTTTCAGTACTTAATAGTGGACATTGGCCAGCTATTTCAAAGACCCGCCAGAATTGCTATAAAGCCTTAAGGCCCATTTGGGGCAGCTTATAAATGCGGGCGATGTTTTCACCACACCGCCTCACTGTTTGGAAAACACGTTTCAACAGCTTATCTGAAAACACGGTTGAATTTTTACATTAAGCGCAGACCGCAGGTCGAACCCCGCGGGCCACATTTCAGGATAAGCTGCTTATCTGGATAAAAACAAACTGCCCCAAACACATCCTTAATCTTTTCTAAAGTCATAAATGACACACACAATTTTAGAAAGCTTTGAGGAGGAAAGATTAGGCCGCATTTTTTTTTTCTGTTTTCAAGTAGAGCACTAAATCAAATTAAGGGTCTGCTTGGGATTGCTGCAGCTTATTAACAAGTTGCCGCGCAATAGTAGTGGTAAAAAACTGCTGTGCAAAAGCTGCTGCGGATAAGCCGATTGTTTGTTTGTTTTTTGCAGTTTCAAAACAGACGTGTTTTAGCTGTTTTTCGACAAACGATGGTTCTGCCTCTTTATTATAATGCTGTTTACAACAGAACTGGTCATACTTGTTCATCATATACTTGAAAGTAAATATCGAGTTTGAATATTACAAAATAAAAATAGGCACCCCACTAAACAGTGAGTAACACAACTATCAAAATGTAAACTACTAAAATAACAATCAATAATATAATAATATTATTTTTAAAATGCAGCTAGTCTAGATCAAGAGATAAGTTGTTTTTCAGAATAACTCTCCACACCTGATCACTCATGACGATGGAATCCTCCAACCCATCTGCCCACCTGAAGAAGTCACAATTTTTTGTTATTCTCCTTAAGCACATGTAAAATTGTCTCTCGTAACTTTGTGGCTACCGTGAAGTAACCAGTAAACATTGTATTTTGCAGTAGCAGTGCAATCCTCTGGAAGTATCGGAAATCATCGAGCTCATCTTTCCTGAAGAACTTAAGAACATATGCTGTTAGATATAACACTAATAAAATTAGTAACATAAGTAATTAATTACAGTTTTATGCAGCAGTTGGCCTCAAAAAACTTAGTATATTAACGAATTTGTCATTACAAAAAGACAACAAACTTCATAAAAAATGGTTCTTGGTTGCCTTTAACCCACGTAATACCGAGCTCGTGTGAGTCGCATATGCATATCACCAAAAAAATTCATTCAGAAAAACCTCAAAAATCATAACACTGAAAAAAGAGAGTAAATTGATTGCATTAATTAGGATTTTACATGTGACACCAACCAAAAGCGATATATAAACCATTCGAAAGAACCCAGAAAGTCAAACCACTCATCATAGACCTTCAAAACCCACAAAAAAAAACATGCAATATTTATGATATATAAATTACCCATAATTGCCACATCAGTCATCCAAGTGGGAGAAAATTAAATGTAAAATAAAAACAAGTACATATTACATGCAAAAATACCGATACAATAAATATCAAATGTATAAGAAACATAAATTTACATGATTTGTATAAAATATAGATACAATAAACAATGAATGCCTTCAACAACCATTACAATAAATAGAAATAAAAACTTACAATTCCTCTAATCACCCTCCAACTATAGCATTCATAATTTATTCCCTCAACTCCGTCATCTCGCTTGCATCTTTCACATCTTGAGTGCAGGTCTCGGGCACATCATTTTTGGTTTGTGACAAAGTTTGTTTAAGATGATATTCATGTCTCAGTAGGGATATGTGAAAGATTTTCATCTGCCCTACAAAAATCAATGTCATTGGGTGAATGATGCTGTAGAATATAATCGTGGAGAGTAATTGAAAAAATCATAATTCACTCCATCGCTTCTCTTATAGATTCATTATGTGATAAATAGTAAAGGTTATGGCTAACATCTCTCTGGAGGTCATCCTGAAGGAGCCATAGTCCATGATTCCTGTGTAATTCATTTAGGAGATCGATATATACGGGCTGTGTCATACGAACATTTGACGAATCCTATTGGTTGTCCTCCAAGCAAATCCCCAAGTCATTTATCACCAATGTAAGATGATGTAAAGCAAGGAGACCAATCTTCGTTTGAATTTTAATACTAATACAACAAACATAACATTGCTACAATTCTCCTTCTGCGTCTCTCTCTCTCTCTCTTTGTAAATTCATGTTAGGCAAGCGTTCTATTCAGGTAACACTTAAGAATCATTAACAATCATAAATTAACAAATGACCAACAAATAACAAAGTGTGCGATGAAAAAAAAAAACAAACATTCAAAGCAACATTGACAGTGTTTCAAAGAAAAAAAAAACATGCATAATAGAAGTCAAATTAACCTAATGCAAAAAAAAAAAAAACACAAATAGTCCAAAGACAAATAAATAAATTCAAGGGTTCCTGCTGTGATAAAAATAATATAAATAGTTGACTATACGGTTAGGGGTCATTGTCATGAAGAACTCTCTACGGGTCTAGTTCTCTAACAACTTTATAGAGAGCAAATATAACGACATGTCCACATAAATTTCTGCAGTTCCCTCCAAAATTCACATAACTTGTTGGCTGGAAGTTGCTTGTAATGTCTCAGTGTTGTTGGTGCATGAAGCCACCATTTGTGAAATTTGGCTTCTAATGAAAGCAACCCCTTATTTTTTTCTTTTGCGCCACCCTTGGACGCTTTGTCCTACTAGTGTACTCTACTTCATTTTAAATAGGGCTATGATCTTTGTTGGAGTCAATTGTTCTTTCGAACCAAGTTCTAACTATGCTTGTAAACCCTCGCTCACTAGGGGTTCATGCATTATTCCCCATTGCCACAATCCTGCCAAACATACGGTCGAACTTCTCTTCAAGCTCAGGGTCAATACCATTAATTTTGAATTTTTTGGCGGCTGACACTACTTGCATCATAAAGGGACATGAATATGCTGATATAATTCAGAAAAGGAAAAACATAATATGTAGGTTCAATCTATTTTCTCCTACAATCTCTCAACCCACCATTCTTCTGAAGCATCAATTGTCCGCTTTATCAGATCCCAACCCAAGCCTGTGAATCCTTGTTTTAATTCCTTCCAAATTTTCTAGTATTTTTTTTAATTGATCTCATTTGTTTTTTAATTGCATCCTCTCATATTCCATTTCTGTAGTTTTCTTGAACTTTTTTTAATTGATCTCATTTGTTTTTTAATTGCATTCTCTCATATTCCATTTCTGTAGTTTTCTTGAACATTTTCATAATATTTTGCCAGCCCTTCTTGTTAAAATAGGTTGTCAAACTATTTCCCATTTCCACCTTCTTAAGACAGAGATCACAAAATATTAGTTTGACTTCCTTATCCCACATAACAAATAAACCAAGTTCTTTTGTCTTAAACATTGCGTTACTAGCATATAAAGAGTTAAACAAAATAAATATTTGACATAAAGAAATAATTAGCACAACTCAAGAAAAAAGAAAATTGTCGTATTTCACCATTGACCCCACAGCATCCCCACACCAAACACCACTGCCCCCACACCACCCCCACACCAAACACCACTGCCCCAACACTATCCACACTCCAAACACCACTGAACTTATAATTCATGTGTTATGTTTGTAAATTTCTCTGAACTTTAAAGAATAACCTTGAGATTGCTAGTAAATATTCCAAAGCTTGTTTTTTATTTGTCTTATAGGCCTTATTTTTCTCCCAAATAATCCAATCATGTAAAACTTCTTTTCCCTAAAAAAATTATTAACAAAATTTTATCGAACAAACTTACACCAACTCCACATAATCCAATCATCCAATAATGTCAATTTACATACACAACACATAATTCAAATGAATTTATATATCTCACACAATAACTTCAATATTTATGCACACAACACTCAAATCTGTAAAACAACATCAAAATGAATTCCAATACAACATCCTAAACATAGGGAAATCATGGTGAAGGAGTAAAATATGCACTATTATGGCCTCCATCATTCATCGAACTTCTAATTGTGGATGAAAATGCCATGAATGTAAACCCATAAGAATTGTGTGTGGGTTCGTAAATTTCCCTAAACAATACAGAAAAATGAGCACCCGAAACATTCTAACATCCCCATAGAAAACATTCTTGTTCTACTGCTAATTGAAAGTGGAATCTAAGTATTGTGCTTGAATTTAAGGACTCGATAAAATTGTAGATGGAGGCATCTTGAATAAATGGAGTTTTGGGAGTAGTGTGGGGGAATGAGTTATATCCAAGTAGAGTTGCTTGATAATGATTGTTGTGATGGATCTAAACTCAGGAAGAGGCCCTGGTGGAGGGATTAGAGGATTTAAACCTTGAAGATATTTAATGTTTAAGATCGTTCATTAAAAATGAAAGAGAGGAACGTAGCAAATAATACATTAATTAAATATTATATACATTATGAGTTTTTAAACATATCATTTAGCATAATTGATGCCCTAATATTAAGTTTGAATTTGATGAATTAAGTGTTTAAATTATATTTAAATGCTATTATTCTGTTTATTAATGATATAATAATATATTAAAAAATTGAAGAAGATCTTGCAATTAACTTGACAAAGATATTAAAAATATTTAGATGAAAAAAATTAATATGCTATTTTTTTAAAATAGAAGTTATGTTTATAAATTGTTTCATTTTTGGAGATCTTGCAATTAACTTGACAAAGATATTAAAAATGTTAAGATGAAAAAAATTAATATGCTATTTTTTTAAAATGGAAGTTCTGTTTATAAACTGTTCATTTTTGCGTTGTGTAGTGAGTGAAGACATGATAGCTATAAGTTACTAAAAGTGAAAGTTACAACATAATGACCAATATCTTGTAATATATTTGAAGTGCACAAGATTTATTGTGAGCTATTATAGGAATTTGCTAAGTTTTCACTCTAATTGTAATTTTTTGACGAGAATGACATAAAAATAGCACCATTTTAGCAGATGTCTGGAAGTGCAAATAATTTTAAGAAGTAACAAAAAATTGTTATGTGGCGGAGCCTATTTTTATTTTTTCATCCAGTACTACAGGGCTCTAAGTATTTATTGATGTATAATTTAAAATTTTGGGTCTACTTTGATATAGCATAACAAACAAAATAGTATACAAATTCAAATAATTAAAACTACATCATAAATTTTCTTGCACATGATTTAGAACAACATAAATGTGTATGTGCTACTAAAATTTAGAGCAATTTGTATGGAGTAAATTATAAAATATACACTAATCATCCAAGTTTGATGTTCTTACTCAGAAGAAGCTAATTTTGAGGGAAAAATGATTGTTAGAGTTGCTTAAAGATTACGATCTCGACATTCATCATCAAGATGAAAAAGCTACAGTATGCTTTTGTTTGGAAGTTCAAAAATACAATCAATTGGATGGTTATTTTAGAAGTTGATTTTTTTTATAAAATGAAAAAAAAAATTAAAATTAAAAGTAGTTTGAATAATTGATATGGAAAATAGATTGTTATCTTGGGTGATTGCTCAACTTACTCTATAGGATAGAATTTTGAAGCTCAAAATGATGATGTAGAATATGAGATATTGATTGAGTATATGAAAAGAGAAGAATTATAGATAAACAATAAAATAGTATGTGTTGGCATATAGGGGTTGATTATGAGAAATATTGCTCTGGAGTCCAGACGCAAGCTGTGTCCAGACAACGGACGCGATGTATGGGATGCATGGACGATGTTTTTTTCCCCTCTGCTGCATTGCCTGCATTGCTTGCATCGCGTCTATCGTCCTGACGTAGCTTATGTTGGGACTCAGACACAATGTTTTGTCCTAACAATGGGCTTACACAATATTTTGTCCTAACAATGGATTCAGGACGCGATGTGCGGGCAATATTTGGTCCGGATGCGGCGCACGGGATGCACGGGCATGCAATATTTTCTACTCTCCAAATTTCTTTTCACTTTTCTCCTAAATTTGTGACTGTCTTAACCTTGTCAAAGATCATTTAATTAAGAACTCTGAACGCATCTCCAACTCCATTTGTCCTCTATCAGACATATACCTGGAGGAATCCCCTGTTTTCAATGGGATGTCCGGAGAGGACTCACTTGCACTAACAGGCCAAATGCCGTCAAGACAAAATATGATCTAGGAATATTTGTCATCGAAAATTAGGTGACAAAAGATTTGCAAAATAGAATTTCTAAGTTTTTAAATCTTGAGCTCGTAGATTTAACCAAAGACTAATCTGAGTGAACTTATCAAAATGCCAAATTATAGGATTGGGCATGAATATTGAATATATATTTGTTGATGGTTTTCTCAAGCGAAAATAGACCAACGTCTCCTGACCCCATCTTCCCATCATAATAAGTTTTGAAGTTTTCATTGTTGGAGATAATTGTGGATCTTCTGCATTTGGAGCTTCTTGTGTCGAATTATGGAGAGAAGTTGGGAGGAGGAGCTGTTGTTCTTTTAATTTAACAAGTACAATAGATACTATTGTTGTGGAAGAATATGGAGATCTTCCAAGGAATTGTTTTCAGACACGATCCATAGAGAATTTATGAGCTTTTGGCATGTGATATTCTCCGCCATGGCAGAATAAAATGTTTTCTGATAGACTTTTAATTTTCTCTCATTTTTCGGAGGGGTGAGCAGAGGAGAAACTTGGGTCGGTATTTATAAAATTTGATCCAATTTTTTCCATGAAAAAGGCAAATCAGATTCGACTTATGGGAAATTGAATAATAAGAGAATCATTACGCTCATTTAGCTGATAAAATGGAGGAAAAGATGAACGGCTCTATCAGTTTATTCTCTTAGCACTATATATATATATATATGTTTCTTACTTTGCTTTATTGTAAGTATATCATACCAAATATGTGGTCTTGTTGGTGATATTATCCTGGGTTTGCAGAAGAATAGTCGAGAACAATTTTAATTCTTCTAGGTAAATTAATGAACTGTTTCTCTTAATCCACCTAGTTAAATTAAGTAGGTCTCCTTGCCTTGGGATTGACCAATTAGCATTACATGGCAACTTTTGATATGACATGTGTGGTGTGAAAAACGACGATAATAAAGTGAAAAATGGAATGAGAAAAATTGCACGCAGAAAAACACCAGAGTGAAACACAAATTTACGTGGTTCAGCAAATTTGCATACGTCCACGGAGCTGCAGCGGATTTTATTTCTTCGTGGAATTACACCGTCGACGTCTCGACGTTTACAAAAAAATCTCTACTTTCTTCTCTCCCTTCCTCTCTCTTTCTCTTCCTTTCTTTCTCTCTTAGAGGATTTAACTTGGCCTTGTTTGACTTGTGGCTTAACTTATGACAAGCCATAAGAGACTATTTATAGAAACTAGGAGAGTGGTAGGTGGGAGGTAGGTGGGAGGTATGTGAGCGGTAGGTGGGTGTGGTAGGTGAGCGGTAAGTGGGAAGATATGTGAGCGGTAGGTGGGATTCTTAATTAGGAATCTAATTAAATTGCGATGGACCGGGTTTCCACATTACCCAAAAAATTCTCCCACTTGGAAACTGGAAGACTAATTGCATCACCTACTAACTGCATCATCAACTAGTTGTACCAATCGTTTCCTCAAACATGATATCCTCCACCTCTACAACTCAAAACCCCGGTCTTTATGTTAGAAGACTAGCTGAAGTCTAGCACAACTTCAGCTTCTCACGAGTAACACTCTCAATTGACATATCACTGTCAACGTAGCCTTGTAACAGCAAGCTGTTTCCTTGGTTACTCTTGTATCTGCTTACAACTCTCACTGCATGAGCAATATCCTGCCCCTACTGAAAGCCCTTTTTAACAAGTCCAGTTTTGTACCTCTTACTGTCATCAAGTGCAGTCTTAACCCGACACACCACTTTTTGTGCAATGCCTTCTTCCCTGTTGAAAGTTCTGTCAGCTCCCAAGTGTTATTTCCTGACAGGGAATTCGTCTCCTCCTCCTTGCACAACTCCCACTTGCTCAAATTCTCAGCTTGCAAGATTTTTTCATACCTCTGTGGTTCTCCACCATTTATCTGTACAAGGTCCAATTTTTTTGCTTTTGGCGCTCTGCCACTTTTCAAGAAATTGACATTCTTCTACTTCTCCATAATGCACCTCTGACTCATGTGTCATCGTCTGAGTAAACCTGTAGTCATATATAGTGTGCCAGCTTTCTTACCCCGAGTAAGTACTAATGTTGCTTTGATAACCTTCCAGGTGCTATCTGAGAACACTACCGAATGACCACCCTCATTCAACTGCCCAACAGAGATGAGGTTTTTCTTCAACTCAAGAATGTGCCTGGCCTTTTGCAAAGTCTACTTGCTCTCGTTAGGGAGTGCATTATCAACGTCTCTCATCCCCATCACGCTCAGAGCTTTTCCATCAGCCAGATGTAGCTTCCTAAAGTCTCCTGCAACATAGTTTGACATCAACTCCCGGTGGGAAGATGTATGGAAGGAAGCCATTGAATCCAGTATCCAGTCTTCAACAGAACTATGGACTGTCAGAATTAATGCATCATGTATTTCTTCAGTTACAACATTAGCGTCATCATTCTCCTTCTTCTTAGGATTCATGCAGTTCTTTTTTATCTGACCAGCCTTGCCATAATTTCAGCAGGTTGTCTGTTGACTAGACTTTGATTTTGAACTTCCTCTATTTGAGTTCCTGTCTTGCGATCTCCCTCTGAAATCAACAATCAATGCAGAACTCAGAGCTCGAACCCGAGGTCTCGCCAGAATCTTTCCTGCGCACCTCCTCAGCCAAAATCAAATCACGAACATCGTCATATTTCAGCTTAGATTTACCTACAGAACTGCTAACTGCCATCCTTATAGCTTCCCAGCTATTTGACAATGAAGCCAACAATATCAGCGCACGTATCTCATTATTAAAATCAATTTCAACAGACGACAATTGATTTGTGATAGTATTGAAATCATTCAGGTGTAGAGCAACATACACACCTTCCGCCATCTTCAAGTTGAATCACTTTTTCATCAAATGTACTTTGTTATTCACCGATGACTTTTCATATATATCTGATAAATTTGTCATGAGATTTACAGTAGTCATCTCCTTGATGACGTTGTCGCAACCGATCTCGACAGGGTTAATCGAATAACCCCTAGAACCTGTTAGAATCTATCAATCCAACAAATTCCATTCCGTCTCGTCCATCTTTTCCAGTTGCTTTCCCAGTAACAGAAGATGTAATCTTCTCATAGAGATAGTATTTTATCTGCATCCTCTAGTAAGAAAAATATGTGCCATTAAACTTCTCGATTCCCGATGTCATCACTTCATCTCCGCCCATTGTTCTTCCTTAGATTCGAACCGAAGGCTCTGATACTATTTGTTGTGAAAAACAACGACAATAAAGTGAAAAATGGAATGAGAAAAATTACACGCAGAAAAACACCAGAGTAACACATAGATTTACGTTGTTCGACAAATTTTGAAGGATCATTGTGGAGAGGGTTCTAGAGAGAGCACTTAGGGGAGAAGAAGAGGAGCATTGCTGGAGACTTCCCTTGGGCTGTTGGAGTCCATCCTCTTCGCATGAAGAAGGAATCCTTGAAAAAGAGAAGGAAGGTTCCAAAATTTCTTCATCTCCTTCCTTTTTCTATAGATTTTCTACTCCTCTTTCCTTGTCCTCCACTTCATTTCACTTCCACTTTCCTTTCTTTGAGAGAAGAATGAAATTCTAAGGGCCCTTTTAGAGTATCTATGGAGGACCCTGAGCTCCTTAAGCAAAAGGAGAGCTTCATCACTACTTAGCGTGGAAGGAGCTTGGAGCAAGTTGAGAGAACGTTTGAGAATTCCTTAATCTCTGGTTATTTTCTTCTAGCAAGCCCTTAGGTTTGTTGTTAGAGAAATTAGAGCTAGGTTCTGTGATAAAGGAAGCCGAATAGGTTAGGATACCATTTTTGTTGAACCCCTCTACGAATCCATGAGGGGAACCTACCTAATTTTAGCTACCAAACCCCAAATTTGGAATTCTGATAATACCATATCTGTGTCAGCTACTTCGTTCTTTCGATGGGAAGAATGAAATTCATTTGAGGTGTAGAGAACCAAAATTTTTGTAATTTTGTCATGCTCTAGAGTGCGAAGGGTTTCCCCTTATGAAAAATCTTCGCGGCGTACCAAGTAAATGAAGGTAGTCGATTGACTCTTCGTGTGGCGATCGACCGATGAATTTACTACCATCCTTTCATAAGATCCTGTGAGGTCGTTAGGACAAGTATAATTCACCATTGGGTCCAAGTAGGCCCAATTTGCTTGCATGTGTTTACATTCACGTCATATGAATCACATGAATTTAAAATCTGCAATACAATAATCCTTTTTGCATGTGTTGTTGATCAGTAACTTACGTCGTCTGAGTCAACTGGCTATCTTTCCATCATTTCGACCAATCGACCGCCATAAGCTCAATCAGATTGATCAATCATTTTCTTTCGGTTCGACCGATCAATTGTCATTGGCCCATTTGGCTCAATTGGCCACTTTTGTTGGTTCAACCAATCAGTCGTCGTCGGTCGATCGGCTCAACCGACCACTTCCATCGGTTCGACCGACCGGCGTTCACTGTTCCGATTGGCTCGATCCACCACCTTCATTGACTCGATCGATGTAGACGACTTGATTGGCCCGATTGACAATTTTTGTCTGTTCTACCGATCGGTCGTCACTGGCCTGATCGACTTGATCGATCATTTTCATCAATTCAAGATGAATCTAAAACATCCACTCTCCTAATAAGATTATCAGATGGGCGACATTTGATCTGATTAAACCATATATGGGGCATCTCTCTCTAATCTTGTCTGTCATTTGATCTACGACAACACAATCACACATATATTCATTTATCATTTTGTCTCTAAGTGTCAAGCCACTCATTTTCCTAAGCATTCTCATCCTCCTAAGCCGCTCAACCTTCCTTGTTACGCCTCAATGTTTTATGATAGGAGCGGAGCGGAAGGATGAGAAAAATGGGAGTTTTGGTGGTCTCTGTAATTCGGGTTCCACTCCTTACCTTCCCAGCTAGCTTTAATGGCGATCTTATCGCGAAGGTTCTGTCACAAAGACGATGGTTTTGAGCAAATTGAGAGCGATAGAGA